CATTCAGGAATAACCGAAGTCGGTAAATTTTGAGTTAAATATCCAATTTTTCTAACTTGAGTTGAAACAGAGAATTGGCAGAAACCTGATTTGCCTGCTGAACTTGTATATTTCCTGCACATTACAGACAGCACAAATCAAATACTGCCGAGGCAGAGATGCTTGCATTATTATTTTTATGAAAGTTGTGCCTCTTCATACGTCACTGTCAAAATTCAGGCAGTCTGATTTTTTTTTTTTTTTTTTATCACTTTCAAACACTCAGTATTCATTCTGATACTGAATCAAATAAAGAGACTCATCCCGTCACTGTGGCTTGCATGCATTGAAAAACACGCAAATGTTTTATGACATCATGTTGCTTCATTGCATAATTAACTTCATTAAGAAGCAAATGCAAAATGAAACTTGTTTGTTTAATCGCCTGAAGACAGGCAAGCCATAATTATGGTGATTACCGCACACTTAAAATGGCATAATTGTAATAATTAGTGAAGCGGGAGCTCAACCCCATGTCCCATTTTTTTTGTTTGTTTTTACAACAAAGCATTAGCTTAGTTTCAACTGTTATTGTTGCACATCTTACAAAGTGTATTCTTTAAATAATGACCTTTGCATTAAAGACAGAACATAAACAAATTCTGCAAAGTTATTGGAAAAAAATGTGATGCAAATACAAATTGATAAGTATTTCCCCCAAGCTATTATGTGTCATCAAATGTCATGAGCAAAACACAGACTAATGTCATTTCCCCCCCCCATCTCATTCTCTCCTTCTTCATGTGCTTTGTGCTTTTCTGCATTGGCAGGATTATTTGATCTGATAATGGTGAAACCAGATGTTAGAGAGGTTTGCACCTTTCCTTTTCTAATATTTGCTGCCTTTCTGTCAACCTTCCTTTTTGCACGTAGGCTTTCCTTCGGAGGCAAATATCTGCCAAGCTCCAACGTCGAAAACTGCTGGAGAATTCCTCACAGAAATGTGTTTACAGCAGTATGAGATTATTTAACTTATACCGCTCTGTTTATGTCCATCTGCTTTTAATTTCTCTCACCATGTGATCTCAATAAACATTTGTCAACACACATGGAGGCTCCAGAGATGAGCAGAAAAGCAGTTGGCAGGATCCTTACCAGACAACTTACTGGTAGAGAAAAAGCAAATCGGTTTTATTAACAAAGCACTAAAAACATCGTACAAGAAAGACAAACATTTTTATCCTAATTCCAAGTTTTGTGCTAAGGCACCTTGTTCTCCTGTTTTGCCATGAGTGTTAACATCACATGTGAATGCAAACACATAAGTGGGTGGGTGAAGCTGTGTGTCTTTCATCCTGACAGGGCTGGAAGCTAATCTCTGCTGCAAACTGTCTCAAGTGTTTTTGCCCGTCCATGTCCACAGCAAACTGGTATTCAATCAGTCAACTGGAATGTAATTGAAATGCTCAGCTTACACATTTTGAACTTGTGTGCAGCTTTAGACACATTATAATAGATTCAATTCACCTATATTTTCTCATTCTGAACCAAAGAACTTTCTGTGTGGCTTTCCGCTGTGTGTGGGAGGTTTCTACGCGCTGTCACTAACAACATGTAATATAATTTTGGCATCGGCATCTGGACCACCTGAAGAGAAATACATACAAAAGTTTGATTCTGTTTTATACCACGTAATGTTGCCTTGCAGAATTAATGAAAACATTTATGCATCTGAGACAAGGGTGAAATAAACATGTGACTTTTTATTTGTATAAGATATGGCTCAGCTTGCAGAGTGCTGTGCCACCCTTAATAACAGTTTATTTTTATTGACATCTAAAAGAAATAGATTTTCTGATTTGATCAGATGAACTTCCTCACATTTTCTTAACATTTTAAGGTTTTCATTTAATATTTACATGACTTCAACGTGTTATTGGTTCCAGCTAGGCAGCTTTTATGTGGAGGGGGAGGCCAGAAGCATATGGGGTAAACATTTAAATTGGAGAGAGATAGACGGATACAAACAAAAAGCAGAAGGAAACTGAAGGACATTGTTTTAGAATGCACTTATTGTATAATAAAAACAAGAGGACAGAATGAAGACAGGGTGTATAATTTGACAAGATTTGACAAAAAAAAAAAACATTGTGGCTTGTTTGACAACATGCTTTCTTTGTTTCTCTTATTTTTTTCATGGACAAGGAGGAGCCAAATCACAGATTCTAAATCCAAGACCATTTGTAGATTATATGCATCATGTATCACATTAAAAATTGTAAAAGTGTTCTTTTAGAAGTGATTCTAAAATCCATGTGAAATACAGTACACTACTGCCCCCTCAGGCACAACAGAGTTGGTGCAACCAATTCACACTGGTTTCTGTACATCTCTGAGGTGTGATTTACACATTAGTGCAACAATCATCGTGGGTTTTGTCTCATCTCCTCACAAGGGAACAGAACATTGAGTCCTGCTTACCTACACAGTGCCTCAAATGCAATTAGCCACTCTCAGAAACGATCACTTCTAATACCCGCTGACACACAAATCTCCAGTTCCTTTTTTTCCGTCTCTTTAATTGACACTGCAGAGACGGCCTTCGTGACCTGTTTTTTAAGGCTCCGTATCCTCTTTTGGATGCATGACCGGGACGTGGAAATGTTCTCAAACATCTGTGCCTTTGAGCTAAATGTCTCTAGTAATATGGATAAAAAGCAACAGATTCTTCTTTGTGAAATCTGGAGGGCTGATCTTTTCAGAGTCCATATGCTAAATATCCAAATAGGAAGGGAGGATGCAGAAGCATGTGTTGCACAGCAAACGCCTTGATAAAATTAGCACAAAATGTTTGAAAATCTAAATCAAGACAGAGACACTGCAACATCTGCCCTGTAGATAAATTTGTCACACGAGTGTAAAACAATAGCCATCATTTGACACACAAAGAACCTTCCCACATTAAAAAAAAATCGAAAGCACTCAACTGAAGAGGTCCATATTATCTCTTGATATCTAAATGTTCCTCCCTCACTGGTTGGCGTCAAACAGATGACACACCAGACAACAGATATATGAGCGCCGTTGGACGACACCCTGCATCAATCGTAGGAATCAAGATAGAAGAACATACCAAACGGTGAGTATAAATTCTGAAGTCTAACAATTACATACATATTTTTTGATGGTTGTGTCATAAAATGTGTCAGAACAAGAACACTAAAACTGACTTTAAGAATCAATTTATCCTAGCTGATAAAGGTTGACTTTATTTACTAAAATTTATGAGAACAAGTAAGTTTGATTAAATTTTCCTTTGGGATCAGTAAAGTATTTTATTTTCATTATTTGCTGGAAAAAGGGAAGACAACTAAAGTTTGTAGGCCTAACTTACAAAAGGCAACTATTGCTTTTTTTTTTTTACTTTCATGTGAATTTCAACTTTTGCTCACCTTCTATATAAAGGACTGTAAGTTTCAGTATCAAGTCAAAGTGTCTGTAAAGTTGATGGTTCTTGTGATTTTCAGCATATTTTAAAGGCACAAAGGCAACATGACCAATTTAGCATATGACAATGAAGATAAAGCATGTTCAAATACTTATTACTGTACAATTAACGAATATTATTTTAAATTGTTTGCCTGTAACTGACCAGCAACCTATTCAGGGCGAACCCTTCTTCTCACCCATAGGTATAGACAATAGATGGTTATTTAAAATATTTTTTATGACAGAAAACTTTTCAGTCGCAAACATTAAAAAAAGTTTTTGAAAAGTTTACTTTCATAACTTGATAGAACAAACTTAACCCTTTACAAGACAGGCACACAAATAATTCAATTATATGCAAATGGCTCAAGTCATTTTTTCAACAACTTCAAAATTGCAAATTTAGTCATGCTGTAGATGAACAGACAGCCAACGTTTTAGATTGTTCGTTGTTTATTTCACTGTCAAAAGATGTGCTTGAAGGAGAAAAAAAAACAATTGACTTTGTTTGTAATCTCGAAGGAAAAGCTTATTGGTTAAAAACTCCAGTCGTCTGCAGGTGTGATTAATCCCACAGGAGTGTGACTGGCCTGAGGTGAGGCCTGTAGCAGAGGGAGGTTGGAAACACCATTCGCAGGGGGGCTGAGGCTAAAAACGGTCTACAATGAAGCAAATCAGTCCCCTTGATGGCAAGGAATAATCACAGGCTGGTCTCAGTAGTCCATAGCTGGAGGCAGCTCAGGTGTAATGACTTTAAGAGAGTGTTTAAGTTTGAGATTGTGTGCAGAGCAATAATCAGAGCTGTAGCAAACAGTTTTCCAGCTTTAAGTACAATCTGCAGAGACTGAGTTCCTACTTCCAGGAAAATATACAGAGATTGCAGCCAACACATAAGTGACCCTCATATATTAAAACATCTTTTCATCATTCAAATGTATCAAATTGATTTTCCGTTTTAGCATTCTTTGTTCAGAAATAGCTTGCGAAACAATCGCATGTAGTGACTGACCTTTAAAAAGCTCTAGAACATCTACGATCATTTATTGTCGGCATGCAAAGTATGACCTTTGTTGTTTAAAACCGAGAGCTGATGCTCTTTTATTCTCTTATGAAAGGATGTTGGAAGGTGTCTCTGAAGTGTCTTAGACATATTGTTGTTCAGGGAGTCGCGTTTCCCGGAGGGGAGCCCACACAGACCCAATAACAAAATAACAGCCTGAGGAGAGGTCCTGTTGGTGTTTGTAACGTGTTTTTACTGTCTGACAGCTGCCTCTGCAGCCACTTTGTTCCTGCTGAGATTCGACTGCTCAGAGATCACAACCCAAGGGGACTAATAAAGAACAGCATGTCTGATGTGACAGTTTGGAGTTTTGTTCAGTTGGGAAAAGGCTATGAAATAAATGAAATAAATCATCAAGATAACTCTGGGCTTTAATGGAAAAATCCTTTCTCGCTGTTGTTGTATTAGTTGGATAACAACCACAACTTTTGTTCCATTCTCTCTTTCAGAGTTCTTCCGTTCGCTGGTCAACATGGACAGATACATCTTGCAACTTAACTCAACCTCTGTTTCTGCACAAGTCCCTCACAACACCACAGTTAATGTCAACGCCACTGTTAAACATTTTAGCGTGTTTGATGGCTGTGAGAAGTACTTTGAGGGAGTTCTGTTTGATCTTGCTTTACAAATCATCAATGTAATTGTGGGAATACCTGCCAACGTTCTTGTCATTGCAATTCTTATTCACAATCGCAAAGAACCGTCCACTTCAGACCTGTTCCTGGGTTGCTTGGCCTTCATGGATGCCTACTTTGGCACCATGACCCCTCTAAACTTTTTAAATCTTTACATCTGGCATAGCAAAGAGGTCTGGTCAGCGGTTAAGTTTTCCTTCGGTGTTAAAGACACCAGCGGCCCACTGTTTCTTTCTTGCATCTGCCTGGATCGATTTGTGGCCGTGCTCTTTCCGATCACGTTTGGGCAGCTGAAACCCATCAAATACAGATTGAGCCTCACACTGCTGGTACTCTGTCTCACCTTTGCCTACTCTACAGCCAAGATGGTGGGCGGTTTTCCCAATTTCGAGAAGGTGTTCACTGGCGAGGTCCTTGCAACTTTTACCTGGATGGTGGTCTGTAATGTTTGCATTTTATGGGCCCTGAAGAAATCTCGTGGCGCCGGGAAAGACGACATGCATCCCATGAAGAAGAAGGCTTTCAACATGGTGCTCTCCATCCTCCGTATCATTATTTTCAACTATTTGCCCCTTGTTGCACTGTTTCCATTTGAAGATCATTACACCCCTGATGTGTTTCGTTGCTATGTGCAGCCCATTGGCTTCGCTTTTCTAAACATTAGCAGCACTATCCAACCACTTGTCTACTTGTCCCGTCTGGAGAAGGTTCCTTTCCTTCCAGATGCTTGCATTAAGAAGTTCACTTCCTGCATCACCACAGAAAAAAATAAAAATATGTCCACACAAAGACCATCAGCTTAGATTTGTAAGACTACATGATGAAAACAAAATATACTGTGATGAAATAGACTGAAGGAATTTTTTTCCTCTAGAAATGTGTTTAGATCTAATGTTATTTCCATACCACGTAAATAAAAGCAGTTTTGAGAAAACGTGTAATGATATAATAATGTAAGTTTGTCCATCTCAGCTTGATATTGTAACAACCTTATTGCGACATGAAATCTATTGGCATGTAATAACTTTTACTCACAAGTCAATTGTTTGGGTTTGGCGCCCTCTTGTGTCTAAAAATAAACTATAAAAAAGAACACTGCTTTTTTTTTTGTTTGTTTTTTTTTTCTAATGTGAATTTGGCTGTATTTTTATCAAATTCACTGAGCTGATTCCAAACATGTACATCTCACAACAAAAAATAGGACAAATCAGCCAAGATCTTCACAAAGAATCTTTACTACTCGTGACAAACACAAGGCAGCGACAAAATTACACAGACGGTGAAAATACACCACAGTATTTTCTATTACTGTCCTATGAGCAAAAAAATCAAAATAAATAAACCACCAGCCAATCTCCGAAATAACATATCAAATATAATGACACTGTTTACATATTTTAATATTTGGCTCAGCTTGTGTTCCTAGAACTAAATTAAGATCCTGAAACCTTACAACCCAAATAACAATTTTTGATCTTGGGGCAGCTCAATGTTTCATGGACCTTCAAAAAACTTAGCATCAAGTTTTAGAAGAAGGAAATTTGTACAGATTGTTTTATTTAAAGAGAAAAAATCTGAATAATGAACAACACTTATTTAGCAAGCTAAGACAAAAAAAACCTAGCTCTAGTCCAAATGTTGTGAAATATCTAAAACTCAATTTAGTTTTGTTTAACAATCTCTGACAATTATAAAAACATTCAGTCCTTGTATAAAATTATTTATTTAAAATAATAAATAAATAAAATCGAAGAAAAGTGCAATGAAGATTTATCTTCAGTTTCCTTTACTCTGATATTTTCACACAAACAATTGTCCAAATCCATCTCCACTTGTGACATAACAAACTTGTGGAAGAACATGGTCTGGTTACATCTGGCAGAAAAATACCACAATCCCCTGAACAAACAGTCTTGGTAGTAAAACAAGGGGGCAGCATCATGCTGTGGGATGTTTTTCTAGTGGGGATAAAGCATCTGGTTAGAAAACCGAACATATGCCATGAACGTTTGACTTCTAGCACCTGTTACTGCAGCAAAACGTGGTTTTACAACTTAATATAAAAGCATGCCACACTTCAGTTTTTATTAAACTGCCGTCTCTTTTTCCTTCCACTTCACAATTATGCAACACTTAAAATCCCAATAAAATACTATAATGTTTGCCTTATATGTAAAAAGCTGAAGAATTATGAATACTTTTACAAACGCTGCTTGTACTTGTTTTCTATTTGGGGAAGGGAGTCTTTTATGTAATGCCTACAAGCAAAGTTTAGTGTTTCAATAAGATTAGTTGGATTTGAGAGGATGGAGTTGGTTTGAAGTAAAAGCTGAAAGTGTCTGTGCTTAAACATGAAGATTTGTGTCCAGAACTTTATAAAATGAAGGGAGACCTTTAGGAACATTGTTTTGGGAGAACAGGAAAGCTAAAAAAAGAAAAAGAAAGAAAGAAAACCTACTTACTGGTGCAGCACTGTGATAAGCACCTTCTCTGGCATTATTCTCAGAGGGTGACTACTCTGTGTATAAAAATATGGCAGTAAAGGCTCTGTGAATGTCTGTGTGAAAGCATACAGGAGCGAATTGTCCACAGGGTCAAAAAATGACACTGTTCCCTTGTTGTAATCCAGTTGAACTTTGACCTGTTCGGGCTTAGTTGTAACAGTCAGCAGGGTGGGTGGCGAGCTCATTGCTCTGAGCTCTCCGTCCCGGAAGCACAAAGTCCAAAAGCCATTTTCAGGCCGAGCTGCGACCTCGGCGTTCCTAGGCGCAGACAATGAGGCCACGCCCAGGAGCCAGTCCTGATTACTTCCTGTTTCCACAACCCAGTGGTGGCTTCCTGAGCCGAGCGAGGTCGTTCCTACTACTTCTGCACTCACGTGGAAGCGCTCAGGGTTGTCAGGAAAACAAGTGGGCTGCTGTGAGTAGTGAAGGGAAGTGAGGTCTTCGGATAGGACGAGGCATGGGTGTGCTGTGTTTGGGTCTAGAGTTACAGAGGCTACAAAGCAGAAAATTAGCCAGAGTATTGACCACCTACAAATCAGGTTTGTGGTGGATAATTCTTCTGTTATATAATTGTTTAAATATACTTACTGTAGTCAATCTTGTCCAGTATTTTTTCCCAGACACTGTATTTTAGGTTAGAGAGGTATTTTGTTGCATCTAACAGTAAACCGGACAAGTTATCTAAATCATCCTCCATATCTTTATCCCTATGATAAAAGCAGAGTAATAATTACAACATATGTGTATTTTATAACATTAATGTTTTGAAATATTATCAACCTACCTTTCCTGAGTGACTCTAAAATTCTGAAAGAAACAAAACAGCATTAAGGATAACTGTGTTTTTAATCCTCAACAGTACTGCTGCGTTGTGTGGCTCGTACCTTTAACATAATCATATCATCTTCTCTGAGCTGTGTTTTGATGGCAGACATAGTCGCAGCGACAGAAAGCATTTCTGCTGAAAGTTCGTTCATTTTTTCTTTGATCGATGCTGTCTTCTCCTCTTCCTCACGCTTCACAGCTTCTCTACGGACCGACTCTTCATCACAAAGGGCTTGATGTAGCTGCTCAAACTGGTTTTTTATCTTTTTTTGAGTTGTTAGCGTCTGATACTGTCAGGAATATTATCAGAAACACGTTATAATGTTTTCTGTCTTTTTTATGGCAATAATTGTTGCTTCTGTTTAACCATGCATTACCTTAATGTATGCCAGCATGTCAGCAGAGGTCCTGTGTTTTCTTTGGAGGTGTTCCAGTTTGCTTTCCAATCTGTTCAGTGTGAACTCCAGTTTTTCCTGGAAGCCAAACATATCCAAACAGCAGACATCATATCGGGTGTTTTTGCTCTTGTCTCTTTCTCTGACACAACGGTTGACAATCAGGATGGACTAGTAGAACCGCATTCTGTCAACAGCTCTTAAAAAGGCAGTTTATTTCCCTTACCTTGCAGTCCAGAAGTGCCTCTTCAACCGGGGAACAGTCGTGATTTTTATGAAGTTTGGAAGCGTGGCACACCACACAGATGGGCTGTTCGTCAGCCAGACAAAACAGCTTCAACTTCTCCCCGTGTAAGCTGCACCTCCCCTGCTCCTCCAGAGAGTTTTGCCTCCTCAGCTGCTGAAGAGCTTCACAGACATTCTTCAGGGCTAAATTGGACAGAGGAGGGCATTTGGACCCTTTCCTTCTGCAAACTGGACATTCCCCTGTCTTTGTGTCCCAACATTTCTTCAGACAGCTCCTGCAGAAGCTGTGGCTGCACGACAGCAGAACAGGGTCCCTGAAGATGTCACAGCACACTGGACATGTCAGATCCTCCTCTGGAAGAGACATGATCCTTACCTTGCGAATGTCAAACGCTCAGTATTAAAAAAGAAAGCTCTTTCGCGTTGGTTCCAACACACGCCGTCCTAAAATCTCAGTTTGTGCTAACTGCAAGCTGTTCTATTGTTCTTGACGAGAAGAGGAAAATGTTCCTGGTTTTCCTGTGCTTGTCCTCTGTGGGTGTAACATCAGTCATGCAGCAGTGTGAGAAAGCCCCGAATGTAGCATGGCTGGCAAACAGGAAATAAAGCCTCATTGGCCAGTCGAGAAGGAACTAAAAACTGGTTGGTAACTTTTTACAAGGCTGGAATGTGATCTTTCAAGACATAAATTCAAATGTTTCGGTTGTGACATCTGTGTTGACGGCTCAAAGCAACACAACAACAAGCTGCTTTCAACAATAGGAGCTCTAAACAATTTTCTCTGGCAAATGGCCATCAGATCAGAGGAGAGTGAGATATAAATAGTTCAACTTTAGTTGAAATAGTTCAACTATTTTTTGTGTATGAGTGAATTTAGAACCTGCAGTTTCGCTGTCAAATTATCACTTAGGTTCAAACTGTGGCCTCACTATGTTGGCAAGTGAATTTGGAAATTAATTGGCTTGAAATCCTGATTAAAAAGATTTTAGTTTTGGATCAAAATGTGAGACTAACGGAGAAGTGGAAGAAAAATGAAGCAGAGAGAACTTACGGAAAACACAGAAACAAACACAAGTAGTAAATAAAAAGAAACACTCATGTAAAGCACATTAACTAACAGAAAGGACACACTAAAATGGCAAGAGCTAAGCAAATAAATGAAGATAAGAAAGTTATCAATACAGAAACTGAAATGAAAATAAATTAAGTTATAACAGTTCAAGATGTCTAAAAGTGTGTAAATTTATGCAGCTATGTTAAAGGATTTTTGTGCACATATTTTACATTGAATACATTCGCTATATTTTTAATTAAATTGTAAAGGACACATGTCAGATCAAATGTGGAAAAAGCTTCATCTTGATCTTATTTATACCCCTGTCCAATAAAGTTTGAACGGGGGTATGTGTTTTTGAAAACAACTGTATTTCAGATAATATTTTAATAATATTTGCTAAAATCTCAGTGCTGCTGTACCGCATTCTTTCTTTGTTATCCTGCTTTAGTCTTTTTCACTCTCCTGTAACTGAGTGGAAGATACAAATAGATTACAGATGGAGAGCATTCAAATTAAAAGTGTCTGCTGGAAGAGAGGATGTATTTTTAGGTTCTGGTGACCATTTTTACACTGTGAACATATTATTTTAGAATGTTAGACAGTTGATAATTATATCATTTAAATAGTTGTGCTTTTTCATAAATACAAAATGCTTAATTATTTAAATTCAGTACCTGGTGTTGCCTTTAAACACCATGCAGCCGATGAATGCTGAATACATTGACAACTTGTTTTGCAACATTTCTTTTTTTTTTTTTTTTCTCTGTATTATTAGTCGGGCAGAATAAGTCATGCATCAAATTTTATTTTCTTTGTAACCTGATGCCAGGTTGCAAAGTTAGAGAGACAATTAACAGCAATTAAAAGTGCCATTTTGATAAGACTGAAGGGAACCAGCGAGGGAAATGTTTTTGCATCAATATAAACTGATTCTTGGGTCCTTTTTGGTTCCCACCAACATGCCAAAGTTCCAGCATGGCACCTAAAAAAGTATTTTGCATTTTGTATCATTGTATTTTTAAACACAATGAAATTCTAAATAAAATGGATTTGATCTCATTTCATGCCGAACATGAGCAGCTGATCAAACTGCCTCCCACAGCCTCTGCGCATGCCCAGTGTGTGCGTGTCTTGTGCTTTGCAGCGGGTCAGTCGGTTCGTGAGAGAATCTAGAGGAGTGATGCAGCCGCTCGCATCCTATCCACCATTTCCACGGGGTTTTGGCTCCTCCGGTCTTTGGTTGCCATGGCGATGACGTCAGGTTGCACCACCGTTTCAGACCAGTAGAGAGGATCTTAAAGGCGGCGCAACAAATCCTGCACAATCGACTGCAGCAGGGAGCCATCATCCCGTGTATCTCCGGCGCTCAGATTCGCAGCTCCTACTCGACCATCCTCCCGTCTCTCTGCCCAAAATGCGCGAGATTGTGCACCTGCAGGCCGGCCAGTGCGGAAACCAGATCGGAGCAAAGGTAGTTCATGTTTTATATGTGCAGACCTCTGCATCGTAGAAAGATTTGTGCAGATTCTCACGCAGACGCACCGCTGTCGGCCGCCGCTAGTCCATCCTCTCGGAATTCTCCAGAAGGAACTCCGTGCAGCGAATCAGAAATCGTTGCAGCGCTTTGAATATGCAAAACGCGTCAAAACATTAATTATCATCAATTAACCGCGTGAAGTTTTCTGCAGTGCATGCTTTAGCTATAGAAATGCATATAAAATTATATTTTTATAAATAGGCTATATCTTTTCTGACTGCAGCATTAAATTTTTACGGTAATAAGATCGTGTATTGTGCGTCCTTACTCTCGGTGGAGGAGCAGCCTCCCCTCCCCCTTTTTTTCTGACCTATTTTCATCAAACCACTTTCAATCTTTTCTGCTTGACCAATAATAACCACACTTTTCTCCGGGTGAATATTAGATTGCATTTATTTTTTATATATATAATATGCAAAGAGATATTTGTCAGATCAGAAAGTGTTTCAGACTGTTGCTTTGCTCTTTAGATATGTTTTTCACTATTTAGTTTGCTTTTCATAAACCCTATATTTCTGCAAATTCAAATTTGTGATATGTTTTCATACCAGTAGGCAAAAATATGAAGTAAAGTTAACTTCTTGTTTACTTCACTCACCACCACGGCTGTTTTTTTTTCTCACAGTTCTGGGAGGTGATCAGCGACGAGCACGGCATTGATCCCACTGGTACCTACCATGGAGACAGCGACCTGCAGCTCGACAGGATCAGTGTCTACTACAATGAGGCCACAGGTAGGCTGCCCATCCAGCATTAGCAGTGCTAAACAATGATAAGATTTCATGGTTTTAATCATTTCTCAATATTTTCAGGTGGGAAATATGTGCCTCGTGCCATCCTAGTGGACCTGGAACCTGGTACAATGGATTCAGTCAGATCTGGTCCATTCGGGCAAATCTTCAGACCTGACAACTTCGTTTTTGGTATGTTTGGCAAATTTAAAGTGAATCCATTGTTTTTCATTGTCTCTGTGAATCATAAATAAAGTGGAATTTTTTTTACCTACAGGTCAGAGTGGAGCTGGAAACAACTGGGCTAAGGGTCACTACACAGAAGGAGCGGAGCTGGTGGATTCTGTCCTGGATGTGGTTCGGAAAGAGGCCGAAAGCTGTGATTGCCTCCAGGGTTTCCAGCTAACTCACTCGCTGGGTGGAGGTACCGGCTCTGGGATGGGCACCCTGCTCATCAGCAAGATCCGTGAGGAATACCCTGACCGCATCATGAACACCTTCAGCGTGGTGCCTTCTCCCAAAGTGTCCGACACCGTGGTGGAGCCCTACAACGCCACCCTCTCCGTCCACCAGCTGGTAGAGAACACAGACGAGACGTACTGCATTGACAATGAAGCCCTCTACGACATCTGCTTCCGGACACTGAAACTCACCACTCCCACCTACGGAGATCTCAACCACTTGGTGTCGGCCACCATGAGCGGGGTCACCACCTGCCTGCGTTTCCCCGGCCAGCTCAACGCCGATCTCCGTAAACTAGCAGTAAACATGGTGCCATTCCCCCGCCTACACTTCTTCATGCCAGGGTTCGCCCCCCTCACCAGCAGAGGTAGCCAGCAGTACCGCTCCCTCTCAGTGCCTGAGCTCACCCAGCAGATGTTCGACGCCAAGAACATGATGGCTGCCTGCGACCCGCGCCATGGCCGCTACCTCACCGTCGCTGCCGTCTTCAGGGGCCGCATGTCCATGAAGGAGGTGGATGAGCAGATGCTGAATGTGCAGAACAAGAACAGCAGCTACTTCGTGGAGTGGATCCCCAACAACGTGAAGACCGCTGTCTGCGACATCCCGCCACGTGGCCTCAAAATGGCCGCCACTTTCATCGGCAACAGCACGGCCATCCAGGAGCTATTCAAGCGCATCTCCGAGCAGTTCACCGCTATGTTCCGCCGCAAGGCCTTCCTCCACTGGTACACAGGCGAGGGTATGGATGAAATGGAGTTTACTGAGGCCGAGAGCAACATGAACGACCTGGTGTCCGAATACCAGCAGTACCAAGACGCCACCGCGGAGGAGGGCGAATTTGAAGAGGAGGGAGAGGAGGAAGTCGCATAAAATAATCTCCTCTCACACAGCTGCCATACCTCATTTTACATCACACATCTCCCAGCCCTTTTTTTCTCTCCACTCTTTCCATCTGAAATGGAAAAGTTCTCCATATTGAGCAAACTAGATTGGTGTTGCTTTAGTGTTTGACGTTGATATTAACTGGTACTAGTGATGTGATTGGTTTACAAAGTTGTGTATGTTGTGAAAGCACTGGATCTTTGAGCTCCATACATTTGTCCTGTCATTGCCTTGCCACGTCCAAAAGCAAGTCATTTTAACTGTGAAGCCTTGAAAGTGAAGAATTGAATAAAATCACATTGAAAGGCCTGTCTCATGCCTCTGAGTTCATTTGGTGTAATCTCAAACATCTGCATAACCATCAGTGCTGTTTTGTTTAAGACAATCCTGAAGATCTATTTGTGGTATTTTTAGTTGTATTTAGATATTTCATGATACTTAACCTAAATTCAAACCTTTTGAAAACAAAAGAGAAAATTAGAAACGATCTGTTTGATAAATATTAAGACTGTCTGATCACAGACTATAATTTAGGCTGATAAATTGAAGGAATACGATTTAAAATCCACTTGCAGTCATTTTATATTTTTCTTCAAATATAGAACAAAAGAATAAAAATTGGGCAAAAATGTTTATATAAGTGTTGATTCATCTAGAGAGAGATCTATGCAAAACCTGATGAAGCTTTTCTAGACAGTAATATTCTACATAAGCAGTTATTACTAGCATAAGAATATTTATCCAGCCAACTCCATTGTCTGCATTTCCAGTCTAATTTTACCATCTTAAATAACAAGTCCTCCAATCTTGGCTCTCATTTATTTCTGTCCTTGAGAACAAACAGTTTGCTTGGTTTAAACTTGCCTTTCTGTGCTTAACCCAAAAACCTTAAAAGATAAAGCACAGTTAAAACTGACACTGATAAGGACTTGTTTAATAAATTTGTAAATCATCTTTAATGTTTGAAATATGTTTAAGATTACTGGAATAACAATTGAAACTAATCAGTCAGATTTAAAGACTGGATATTTATGTACTGCTTTACACAGAGTCCAATGAAACATAGCATTTGACCTCTTACAGATTTCACTTTTGCTACACTGAAAACTTTAAATAAAATCTAGGGCCATTAGAAAGTTTTACTCAACTGGTTGTGTCCACATTGATACCATCAATCATTTGAAATAACGAGCATAAGTCCCTTAAATCCCTGTGGCAGAATTCTGACCCTCTCTTGTCTGCAGAGTAGTTTTTAATCCAGCAACAGTTTCTGTGGTATCCAATCCAAGTGGTCTGCGATTCATAATTCATGTCTATTGCACAGACAAATCAAGCAAGCATGCAGTGAAACAGCCCAGATTATCACATTGTTACCTTTATGACTGTACTAGTTTCATGTTAAATGAAACAGAATCCAACCTTACAAAGCGTTCATTTTTATTATTATTATTATTAATCGACAGCACATTCTCTCCAAGGTCTTGGGGATCATCAAGAAAATGTTTTAGGAAATGTGAAACTGTCCTTTCTTTAATGTTTGATCAATGGTAGTTTTGGCCTTGCAATTTTCCACCAGATTGTTTTACCCAGACCTGCAGGAGGAGTCGTCACTGACTGGTTTTTCCAGGAAAGATTCATCACTCTTCAATGCCTTCTCTATTTTTGGATAAATTTTCTCATTGTTGCTGTTCAATGGAGATCAAAAACCATGGGAAGTTTTCTGTAAACAATTCTGGTGAAAATGACTATTCATCTTTCCTTGAATTTCCTTAAATCTTGGTGAGCTTCACGTTGTCTATTCTGGTGATATAGTGATTCTCCAGGTCAGACCTGAGTGTGTCTATTGAAACTAAAGCAAAGGAATATGGTTAATCACCGTTAGTTAATGATTTAACAAAGTTGATAACTGCTTCTTTAGAAAGGGCCAAGTTTATTTGGATTGTCTATCCTTAATTAACCAAACCATCAAAGAAAAACTGCCTCTTTTACAAGCTCAATGTAATAAAGGGGAGCAAAAACCAGGATTTAGCAGAACCAGAAGGCAGGTAAATTTTGATGCAATTTAGATTAAATCCATTAGATATTACAGAAAGCTCTACCCTCGACATCTATAGACCGAGTGAATCTATCAATTTCTCCCAAAAAGGTCAAAAGTCTTTGTGTGGCATTATTAGTTACTAAGGTAGTCTCACATTGTATTCAAAAATACAAGAAAGTCTTTTCAGTACCATAGAGAAAAAGACATTCATAATCTATACCTCCATTAAAGATTTGTAGACTTACAGCCAACCAACATTGTTTATATTTTTACAATCCAATCTTGTAAGATAGTGATAGCAAAGTTATTTGGAGCCATCGGTGATAGCCTTTCATTATGAATCATCAGTTTGTAACATACAGTAAGTCCCTGGTGTGAACTGAAGCCTGGGACAATGAAATGTTTCTGTTATCAGATGGTACAGTCAAGTGCTTTCCCTCTGCTAGTTTTTCAAAAAATAACCCAACCGTGACTCTGCTTTTACTCTTCTCACATTCTTGTTACCGGAAAGGCTTATCTGAAAAGTTGTTTTATCATTCTGAGACTTTTTGTACAAATGCAGTGATAAGGTTTCTCATCCTGAGAACATTTTCGTAAGATCAGAAACTGTACATGTTGATACTTATTAGTTTAGACATCTGTTTCCCCAACCACATTTTGTCCATCATCTTCATACTTGACCGACACGTTCAATAACACAAACATCAAACCAATATTTCACTATTTAATTGGTAAAAGCATAAATAAATGCATGTGGAATTGATCTGATGAAATGTATGGCATTATTTATGCCACTGTAAATAAGGACTGCTTCAAGAATAGTTCAAAGTGTAAACATTTGATAGCTTTTTGCTTTTGCCTGGAGAAAATCAAAACTGTTTTCTATTTACACAACAGGTTTAGGTTAAAATAAAATCAGATTTTATATAATTCATCAAGTAAAAAGAGACTTCCATGTTCATTTCAAATGAAATTAGCTTAAAAAAATCTGACATTATAGATCAGCATAGATTCACAAGTGACTTTGTAATGGGCTTTATCAAGTGATGGGTTACATTGTCATATGAATACTACTCCCCCCCCCCCCCCAAAAAAAAAAAACATATAATAGCTACAATTAGTAATGCCTATGAAATACTGCAGTATCAAATGTGCTTATTTGACATTCAGAGTTGATTGAAGTGTTTAATTGTTCTTGATTCCCTCCATAAGATCATCAAGCGCTCCTCTGCTGTGTGCCAAGCAGAAACTATTCAGTTCTGGTTTAAAAAGGAAGCAGTGGGTTTATGCATCATGCTGTGGAGTTTAAAAACTCACTCCCCGTCCTCTCTTAAACCTGAAGTTCCTCCTCAGTTTATCAGCTTGAACCTATGTCACTTAGCAACACCGAGTGTTTGCAACTTTTTGTCCATTTTGGTATTTTGCACAAATCTCAAATGAGTCTCTCCTCCTTTGGCAGCTGTAAGGCGTCTGGTGCGGTAACGCTGCGAGGGCCAGAATTTTCCTCAGCGCTGGGCCTGTAGGTTCCTTCAGTTTGTCTTTTCTTCTTCACCACAAAGAACAGCCAGCCAAGAACGCCCAGAACTATGGCCAGAACACTCAGGGTGACTGTCGGGGCCACGATAGCTGCAATGTTTGGTCCCTGAAGGAATTAAATAGTTAATTCACAAGTTCACAGATTGCCTTGCCACTTCATAAAAGAAAGTAGCAAATGCTTCAGTTGCATTTTTGTGCTAACTCTGGTGGTGACCCCAGATGTGTTGTTGAAAATGATCACTTCTTAATTTAACTTTATATCCTCACATATCAGGGTTTTTTTTCAATTACATTTTGAATTTTGCAAATTATTTCTGCTTAAAAATGTCCTGCAATAGAACAATGAATTAATTTATATAATTTTTACATATCTTTATCTTGAATTACATTATTTTATAGAGAACATTACAAAATAATCCCACTTACTGTGTTGTTAGTAGGACTGGCGGTCGTAGAAGTGGAATTTCCTGTATAAGAAAATACAAATCTAAACATCACTTTGGTCCCAGTGAAACTGATTATAAAATCATTGTTGGAGATATGTTTTCTGTGCCACACATACAATTTTTGACTGACCACAGGACACAAATCAAAACAAACCTGACAAAAACAAACAAAGACGCCCATATTTATTAAACAGCTTGTGATTAAAGGCACAGTTTGTCCTAAGTACAAAAATTATTTTTATAAGACCATTTTCTACAATATACTTAGTGAGTTACACATTGTGAATAGTGAAGTAAAGTGTAAAAGTTACAAAGTTAAACATTTTTAGCTTAGCTTCAATGTTTGTTTTATTTCCAGGTCCACTTTTGAAGAAAACAAGTTTTTGAAAAATATCCACCTACAGTCAGTAGCTTCTCTTTTATGTATGCCTGTTCACATGTTTGTTGACACAAAGTGTAACTGGGGCAAAGACATGGCATCATCTCAAAGCATTCAGGAATTTAAATGCAGTTAAGATGACTCGTTCAAGTTCAAACCGAGCATCACAGAGAAGAAGGAAGAATATTTTGGGCATGGCCGTTGGTGCCAAATGTGGCAGACATGCTGACTTGTGTATTTTTGGAAACTGTTAATCTGCAAGGATATTCACTAACACCAGTTTCCCAGAGAATGGTCGAAAAGAAAGAAAATATCCAATGAACGGAAAGAGAACAGACAGACTTCTTGGAGATAACAGAAAGGCATCAGCAGATCCAGAAACTATTTGCTACAGCAAAGATATTTAGAATACTCTGATTGCCCGAAACATGTGAAATCTTAAAGAAGAAGGGCTACATCAGCAGAAGACTCTTTTATGTATCATTCCTTTCAGCTAAGAAAAATAAATGTTAGCTCCAATTCACACAGACAACCCTGAGTCTTTATATTATTTAAAAAACGTCAGTCTTGCTGAATTTCTATACTGCTTCACATGGCACTGTGGTGACCTCCTCTGTCACCAGATCTCAATTAAACAGAGCACTTCTGGACGAGGAGGAAGGGCTCGTCACATCAGGGACGTGCAGCAGACAAACCAGTAGAAATGTGTCATGCTATTATGTCAGCATGGACAAACTCTCCATAGTATAACCTTGTAAAATATTTTTTTGGAAAGAATTAAGGGAGTTCAAAAGGGAGTCAAATGCAGTACTTGCAAGGTAAAAAGGCCTGAGTGTCTATATCACGAGATTAGCAGCTCTAATCTCATAATGTTGATTTCAACATTGGCTAAACATAGTAACAAAATTGGTTTACAAATCATAACTGAGATGTAGCAGCCCATTAATTGGAGAAAAGACTTAGTTAGGATTAGCAAATTGACAAAATGCATGGGACCTGAACAAGAAGTCCATGTTAAATGATATTTTTCTCACAATGTATGTAAAATGAAAACCCAAGAAAAATAAAGTCAAATTACTAACACCAGCAGCATTGCATTACTCCCTATTCTTTTTATGATCTTTTTTGCAACAGATCAAGACAAAAAAAACTAAATCTGCAGCTCAGCAAATTATTTGTTGACCACTTTGGAGCAAGCAGCAGCAGATACTCCTCCAGCCGCTGCTTATCAGCCATTTGATCCTTGTCCAGCCATGTGCCCGCTCTCTCATGAAGTTTCATTGTAACTCCTTCACCAGCAGAGCAAATAAGCAGCAAGATGAGAAACATAGGAATGCAGAGTCAAAGTTTCAAGCAGGTTTGAAGAAGGGGAAAAAACTCAAATATGCCCAGTTTGCTTGTGTTAGGCATCCTAAGAGTCGTGTTAAAGAGAAAGTCTTGTTCTGAAAACCGAAACCTGTGACTAAGGTATCCTGAGTCAATCATTCACCAAATGGCAAAGAGTGAGATTTTCATGGACGAAAGTACAATTTGATAACAACCGAGGGTCAGAGAAGGGACACTGCAAAACGTTTTGTCTAAATTCAAGATTGAAGCAGGATTGTGTACCCTTCAGACAGCCTTCTCTCTTGAAAATACATCGGTCTCTTTAAATGTAATGCTCTTAGGAAACACTAACAAGCCTTTACATGTGTCCGATTTTGTCTCTGAAGATTTGTTTATGAAAAGATTTAAAAGTGTGATTGTGTGTGTGTAGGTGTGGTCGGATGCTTAGCTCATTTGTGTAGGAGTGTGGAGAATAGTCGCTTACTCACCCCATAAGGGATTACTGCTCAGCACCAGCAGTAAAACGCTCCCAACCAGGGCTTTAGGTGAGGGCAGCACCTCTGGACAGGCTGCCATCTCTGCGGGGGGGGGCAGGCTGGGGTCACTGGGCATCAGCTTGGGTCCATTTCACTGCTTCCACGACTCGCTCGGGGAACTTAACGCCTCCTTTTGACTGCTACAAGCACAGTCCTATTATCATCATTATTATTAAAGAGGAGGCTTGTGTTCTTCTGAGTTCATTGAGACACTCTGTGTTGTGTGGCTGAGTCAGGCAGCTGATACCACAACCACTGAGTCACATTCATTCTGCTGCTGAATCACCATCAACCTGCTCAGACTGCTTGAAAATAATAATAATCCCCCCCTATAAATATATAATGTGTCACAACCCGAATATAACTTTGAAACAGAAATGTCGACTTTCAGTTCTTGTTCTCATACGATTTGTTGATTCAGTTCGATAAGACGGCACACAGCTACCTGCTTTGATCCGGACGGTCGAAGCAAATCGGGAAAACATCGAACAGGTTGTTTCCTCTCGCACGAGCAGCTTCCGCCTCACTTCTGCGCATAAATAATCATCCGGATAAAACGAAATAGATCCCAAAAAAAGTAACGTAAAGTACTGAAATAGTCCTAAAATCGATTCAAAGTGTTTTTACCACCGGACTGCATCCAAGGTTGCTCTTTCAGTAGATATTTTATGCAAAGCAGGGTTTTTTTTTTTTTCAAAGATTCCCATTGGTCACATGATTCAGTTTCGTGTTACACTACCTGTGCAGTTATCTACCTGCAGCGGGGCGGACAGATCCTCCTTTGTATCAAAGTCGAAGAAAGCTGAAGTTTAGTGAAGCAGAACAGCTCCCTCCCCATGAAGCCCTTGAGGGAAAGAATAAAACATCTCCAAATCCGTTTGATTGCCTGTTTCCTCAATGTTAAATATGTATCAAACCTTTTTGTGATATGAATAAGCCTGGTTTCTGTCACTTGTCCCAAACTGCACAAGGACAATGTGAGTTCAACTGCTCTCCCTGTCCTGTCCAGCTCTCACCTGGCAACCTGCTCATGGAGGTGGCACAGAACAGCGCCTCCATCAGGTTCAACGGTTCCCATCATGAGAGGGGGGTATCAGCATTCCTGAGATATTTTAAGGATGAATTTGGGAGGCCAGCTGGTCCAATGGACTCTAATCCTCCAGTAATCTCCACTTCTCAGACTCGAGGTTGGAGTGAAAGGAAAAAGTTGCCTACCTCAAGTCTAATCTCTGCAGATCTGAATTTCTTAAGATCATTAAAAGGGCACTGAGGTGTGTTTTGTTGCGCTCCTGTTTAAAACTACATCAGTGCATTGGTTTGTGTTTTTACTATGTCTTATTATCAGTCGTTGATAATACTATAGGTAAAAAAATGAGAAGGAAAAAAAAGTTAAAGTCAATTTTCAGATATGTCTAAGTGTAGGGGATGTGCGTGTGTTACATAAAATCATCTTCTTTGTTTATTAAAAGGCTATGAATAAGTGTTTGTCTGCAGTATAGCAGACAAACATAATATATATAAAAGCAATGTCTGCAGACTGGAAAACACATTTCTTAGCCTTCTGGATGCTGTACACATTCTTTTAAATGTTATTTTTGCATAACTTCGGCTGTTTTGATCCTTAGGGCATAAAATGTGAGAAAAGTGTTTATTTTGAGAAGAATTTGAAATGTTTACAACATTTTTTCAACAATTTCGTTTGCCTTTTAAACCAACAATCTGTCTTTTTTGTGCCATTGTAATGCAAATGTTTTTATTATCATTTTATTTTTAATTTTACTTTTTGGTTTCTATTCCTTTGCTTGCAAAGGAAAAGGTTTTTCTAAATGATAAAAAAAGAGTGACTGAAATATGTCAGTACATATATATATATATATATATAAAATCTATTTAATAAATAATTGTAGGAAATTTATAACACCCGTATCTTTTGCACCATGTGCTACTGACATAAATTTTGGCACACAAAATGAATGCACTTTCTTGTCAATCAAAACCTAAACAAGATATCTATGGTGTCTGTTGCGACCAAAAATAAGAACCTATTTTTTATTCATGCAATGTTTTTAAATCTTCTTGAAAAACAGTCAAAACCAGAGTGCATTTTTGCAAATGCACAAACATCATATGTTTTGCTCTTGATACTGTGTATCAAGGACATGGTCAGTATTTTCCGACTATGCCTGTACTCTTGTTATGTACAGTGATAGATTTTTTTTTGTTTGGACTATCTCAGATAATTTAGAAAGTAAAAAAAAAAACGTTTACAGCTGATGTTGTGTGATTTTACCACTAGGGGGCAGTAAAGGCAGTCCATCTCTGTTTTCAAGCAAGCGCACTGCACGTCCTCCACGTACTTACGGCTTGCCATACTCGCAGTGACATCTGGGTAGGACAGTCAAAACGGCGGGAGGGCGGCAATTTATTGTTAAATACTAAGACACATTACCTAGTTTAACATTGACATCGTGTCAAGTAAAGTATTTTCCGTGTGGTTGAACCGGTAAACACGGAGGTGTGTCTCGGGTAGATCTATTACTAATACTCACGTGGTAGTGCCGCTGTTAAAGCTCTTCTTGGAATCTGGACGTTTGTTTTTATTAGCCCCGAGTTTAGCTCCCCAGCAACAATGGCAAAGGTACAAGTGCTGAATGTAGCCGTGTTAGACAACCCGAGTCCTTTTGGAAACCCTTTTCAGTTTGAAATCACCTTTGAATGTATGGAAGACCTTCCTGAAGGTGAGTACCATCGCAGAAAAACCTCCATATAACTGCTTGTGTGACGCTAAAAACAGACTCCTTGGTGGAGGCTAACGGCTATCTAACGGTTTACTTCGGTTAGAGTTAACAGCGAGCTGTACAGAAAAAAACTTTTGATACAGCTTGGCTTGAATATTCCTCGCGATAGACACTGAGAATATTCGCATAGTACAGTTTTGTTTAAATGTAGCCTTCTCGATTTGACTTTCAGAGAAAAAGGAGAGACAGCAAGTTCAATTTGTTGCAGTTTAAAAGTGTAGCACAAATATAAAATGACAGTTTTTGCTACGCAACTAAAATTAAACACTAATGGGCAAATTCAATCATTCTATTCAACACATGATATGACATTTGTGAAATACAGTTAAAGGGGAAAACTAGCTGATTTACAAACTAAACAAAGATTTAAAAATTAAACAGCAACAATGACCTTGCATTTAGTTTAAGCATCGAGGTTTATTGAGTTCACACCTTTCATCAGTTATAATGAATCTGAGCTTTCACTTTGTTTATATGTTTAGGTTCAGAATAAAAGGTTTGCAAAATGAAGACGGATATGGCACATTTTCCTCTGTTCATATTTATGGAAAATTTTATAAATTAAAGCACAGTAGTTTCCAAACTAATGTTAATAAAACTGGATCCCAAAATATTTTACAGGTACTTTTAGTGTATTGCTGTTGTAGAAATGCAGAAAAAGCTGCTCAAACCGGCATTTGTTGAAACATCTATATTTGGCAAATGTACCTCCATAACATTTATACTCAATGATAAGAGCCAACCTGAAAGCTCCTAAGAGCCACTTGCAGCCCCAGAGCCACATGTTGCAGATAATTGGAAAGTCATCAACAACCAGTGAAAAGATTAAGCTGAATCTGATTGCTACTGCCAACAGGTTGACTGCAACACTGAAAAAGCTGCAGGGATTTCTAACAAGTACAGAGTTCTAAATGATGTTTTGGCAATATTCTGTATTCTCTATTGAATACAGAAAGTCTTCTGGTGGCATAATTGAATGTTCTTCAGCACCTAAAAGAATCTCCATGAGGTCTGGTGTCTGGTGGCCAATCCATGTGTGGGTGGAAATTCTGCTTCATGCTCCCACAATCAGTCTGTTGATATCCTTTTTTGGGACTCCTAATGCTGGAATCACTAAATTTGAACAAATGAGACAACCTAAAACTTGCTTCACGTTTATGCATTGTAGTTAACTCCTTTTTAATGTGTAACTATAGTATATTTTTTTTAGACCTAGAATGGAAGATCATCTATGTCGGTTCAGCAGAAAGTGAGGAGTATGACCAAATCCTGGACTCTGTTTTGGTTGGGCCTGTACCTGCTGGGAGACATATGTTTGTTTTTCAGGTATGTTTGTCTTCAGAAAATGTAAAAAGAAAAAGAATACTAGAAAGGTGACTGTTTAACTGTACATGTGTCTTATGTAACACATACTCCATTTGAAGTTTTAATGCTTTTGTTTTTTCTTTTGTCAGGCTGACGCTCCAAATACTGGTTTGATTCCTGAAAGTGATGCTGTTGGCGTAACCGTAGTTCTAATTACATGCACTTATCGTGGCCAGGAGTTTATTCGAATTGGTTACTATGTGAACAATGAATACACAGACCCAGAGCTTCGTGAAAATCCTCCAATCAAGCCAGACTACACACAGGTCAGACTGGTTGATTTATGCCATGGTAACATGGCTTTTGCTAACATAAATGTCTCAATGTTTAAAATAAAGTTTATACACATGAAAGAAAAATTAAACATTGACTTTATGTGTCACTGGGTAGTAAAATTCTATTTTTTGGGGGAGGGGGGGATTAGATAAACAAAATGAAAGAAATGGAAGGTAAAATGAATAGTGACTTATTTACAATTTTATAAAATGGCAAGAATTTTACTAAATTATATGAGGAAAAATAAAGTGTAGTTTTCAAATTCACTTCATTTATAAAAGGAAAAACACTGTCCCCTCTTAGTAATTTATGCTTTAACTGTGATAAACCAAAATTCAATTTCACTATCCTTACTGATACTTTCTCTATGACAAACCTGTGCAGTCAAGAAATAATTTACAGATATTCCAAAATACTCAGGGATCTTAAAAAGCAACACACCATCCCAGGATCCAAAGACACTGGGTTAAAAAAAAACATAATTTACCCTTTTCCCTCTGGAAAGGGTCATAAAGCCATTTCTAAGAAATTGAGATGCCATTATCTATCTGCCAAAATTTGTTCCAGAGTGGATTGATGATTTATCTCTGAAGTCACAAAAGAGAAGATCAAATATCTAAAGCAGTGCAGGTTTTACTCTCCTTTCTTAAAGGTCAGTGCTCATGATTCAGTTATAAGAAGGAAATTGGGCCAAAATGGCACCAAAGAAGAGTTTCAGATTGAAAAACCACCAAACCTCACAAAGGCAACTATAAGACTAACCTAGAGTTTAGATATAGTATTCTGTGGGTTGACAAGATAAAGACATCTTTCTGGAAGACGTGCATCCTGTTACATCTGGTGTAAAAATAACAGCATTTTGGAACAAAAAAACATACCGAGAGCCAAACATGTTGAATGTATTGTGATGGCTTGGAACTGCTTTGCTCATTCAAGTCTATAATTATTGAACCAGGATTTCTGTTTTCTACCAGAACATCCAGAATTTCTGGGCCATCACTTTGTGACCTTAAGCTAAGGCTCATATGGGTTATGCAACAATAGAAATGGGCCAAAGAACACCAGCAAGTTCACTTCTCGATATCGCAAAAAAATAAGTTTAAAGTTGGTACTATTGGAGCTTAGAAATCCAAATTTGAATATGATGGAGTTGCTGTGGTCTCTTCATGACTGAAAACACTCCTGGGACTGAATTAAACCCATTCTTCAGAGGACTGGGGCAAAATTACACTACAGGGTTATAAAGGCCATAGGATTGTTTGAAAACCTTTCTCTTTACTATCACTATTTGAAAACAGCATTTTGTTTTTATTCAAGCTATTTTTGTCTAATATTAACCTTTGAGAATCTAGAATAACTGAATCAATAATGCAAAAACAGGAAATCTGATAGGTGAAATCTGTAGAACATATTGATAGATCCATTCTAAGGAACTTTTACCATTTGAAGCCATTTCAGGGTTTGAGGTTTTTCTACAGAAAACTTTATTAAAAAATATCACAGATAAACATTAACAACATATTTCTTTAAAAGCAAAAGACATTGTCTGTGTTTGCCTACGTTTTTGTGCTTTCAAATTTAAA